TAATAACAGAACATGGCGTCAAAACAGACCCAGCAAAATATACAGTTATTCAAGAATATCCTAAACCAACAAATATAGATGAGGTAAGAAGGTACGTTGCCTTCTGTAACCACTATAGACGCTTCATTAAAGACTTTGCGTCAATAGCCAAACCTTTAAACTTATTGTTAAAGAAAAATCAAAAATTTATTTGGACGCGGAATGTGACATAGCATTCGAAAAACTCAAATCGATTTTAATGAGTCCACCTATCCTAAAATATCCTGATTTTAGTAAACCATTCATAATAACAACAGATGCCTCTGATTATGCTCTTGGTGCAGTTCTCTCCCAGGGCGACATTGGTACAGATTTGCCAATTTGTTATACAAGTAAAGCTTTACAAAAACATTACTTAAACAAGCCAGTTATTGAAAAAGAACTCTTTGCAATACATTGGGCAATTAACTATTTCAGACCATATGTATATGGCAAACGTTTCTATGTCATCACTGACCACAGACCCTTAATTTCACTATTCGTACATAGTAACCCTTCTTCAAAAATGACGAGAATCCGAGTCGACCTCTCAGATTATGACTTCGAAATAATTTATAAGAAAAGAAAAATTAATACAAATGCCGATGCACTGTCTAGAATTAAAATAGACACAACCATTTTAAAGAAATTAATACCAACTACAGAAGATACGATGTCCAACCGCAAATTAAACAACTTGGAAAATAATGAAGAACTAATAGATAAAATAAATAGAGCTCAAATATGTATAACTACTCAAAGTAAAATGCGCGCCGCAGCTACAACTGTTGTGAATGCACCTTCAATAGGGTGTCATCAGAGTCAGATCGACCGGCAGAAAATGGTAAGCGCGCATGTAAGAGAGGCGCAGGAGATAAACCGGTCGATTCTGACGAGCTTTTCGAACAACGTGTGCAGTTGAGGGAGATCTTGCAAGAACCTCGTGGTAGCAGAGGCAGTTTTGAATAAGCGATTGAAGCGAACAAACCAGAAATAAAAAGAATTAAATAAATTTATAATAAAATTAAACGAATTAAATATTTTTAATGAATCTGTAAATATTTATATATAATCAAGAAGGAATGTGGTTCGAGTGATTAGGAACCACAACATTTTTGGCGCAGCCGGTAGGATCACAAATTTTTCAAAATGTGAACGGAAGTGAAAACAAAATTAGAAAAAATGATTTCTTGATAATTGAACGATATTACTTTTTTTATATATAAAACCTTACGAATTTAAAAATTTGAACAAATTTTATAAAATATTGTATAATATCGTATAATATTGAAAATCACATTTTTACAAAATGTGAACGGAAGTGAAAATAAAAAGGAAAAATGTGTTCTTAATAATGGTACGGTATTTTTTTTTGAAAATTTGAACGTTAAAACTTTTGTCACATTAAATAAAAGAAATCGTGGTTATAATTAATAAACTTAATTACATTGCAAATATAGAAAATTTTTGTAAAAAAAAAAATAAAACAAAAAATCGGAAGTGGAATATGTATATTAACAATTTTGTTAAAAAACATTGGAATTGGTTTAAAAAAAAAAAAAGAAGAAAAACGAGAACAACCATGCGTTCAACAGCAAAAGCGCAAAGAAAAAACGTGGTTTTCACTTAGGCAAAGTTAAGTTTTTGTAAGAAAAGTTAAGAGAAGTAAAGTTTCTAAGAGAACTAATATTTTACTTTGGCCTTTACTCTAGCAGACTAAAATAAAAAAAAAAAGAGAGATATAAAGAAAAACAAGAGTGCAAAAACATTAAAGTGCAATTATCAAAATATAATAAAATAAAGAAAAAAGCTTTTGGACTTCCAAGCTCAACGGACGGCAGCAGCAGAAAATTAAACATTAATTTAATATTAATTTAATTTTATATTTAAAGACGCAAAAATCAAAGTGTAAATTGTGTTTACTTTAAATAAACTATAAACAGAATAAAAACTTTTAAAACAAAGTTTAATTTGGAATTTTGTTGGAAACTAACGCGCTTCACTGCAACAGAACTAAATACCGATCAACAACCCAGGGTTTCCTTTTCGTTCAAGAGCATTAAGGCTCCTCCGCAAGGGGGAAGGGGTGTTGTGAATGCACCTTCAATAGGGTGTCATCAGAGTCAGGTCGACCGGCAGAAAATGGTGAGCGCGCATGTAAGAGAGGCGCAGGAGATAAACCGGTCGATTCTGACGAGCTTTTTGAACAACGTGTGCAGTTGAGGGAGATCTTGCAAGAAC